AAGTCTTGGAATTTAGGAACTGAATTTTTCAACAGGGAAAAAGTACTTGAAGGGAAGATTGTACTTTCAAGTCCTGGTACAGATTTGTGTGGTGTAGCTGGAAGACTACTGCTGGAGACTGAAAACCAAGCTGATTAGGTGTTGGCTTTGCTGCAAACACTGATGGTTTTGTGCTGACCTATTCCCTTGGTGCTGTGTCAGGATAAAAAACATTTATTTAACCTATAATCTCTAGTTTATGAAATGACAGGATTTCCTCTTGTCCATAATTCCACTCCTTGTCTGTTTTTTTACGTATCCTTTGTACTGCTAGAAGGAAACAAGTTGTAACAAACGTTTGCTAAATTGGTGCTCCATTCTTGAAACTATTGTGGTCTCTCTTAGTTGTTGCCTCCCTTGGAATTGCAGTAGTAGAAAGAAAGTCTGTTTTTACTGCGAGGTGTCTCTAGGTCGCAGCCTGGGATGTTAGTGCAGTCTGCAGAGGGCAGACATTGGCTCAGCTCAGCCAGCTGGAATGCAGGGCTGGTTGTGTTACCTCAGGGGTGTGAGGCTGCTCCCTGCTCATCGCAGCTGTGCTCAGGGCACAGAGCCCTGGAATACAGACAGTGCCCTGTTTTTGAGGGGAATGTCTCTGACCAGAGGAAGGAGAATTTTCTGCTCGTGGAAAAGCTTCTTGAATTACTGTTCTCCGTGAAGAGGTGGGGAAAGTAGCATGTTGGGTTGTTGAGTAACACTAACAACGGATAATCAGTTCAGAGTAACTTTGAATTTAAAAAGAAAGAAAAAAGCCGTGTAAAGCAAGCTGTCTTTATTTTGTGCATACATTACCTACCTCAGCAAAAGTACTATAGAAATAGTTTGGAGATTCTTTTAATATGGTGGCAATTTTTATACTTCCACCTATAAAACTGCAGTCTTTCCAATCATAGAATTCAAAAGGTGTCCAGAAGGCATGAAAAAGTTTTTCTATATCTAAAAGTGTAATAATATTGAGGTTTTATACTGTTGGATAGTCTGGTGGTTAAAAGAAAAATCACACTGCAACAAGAAACTGAGATGTACCTGATAATTTTTCCATCCTGGTTTGCTCATATGATATACATTTTAAAACTGTATTAACTTAGATTAGCATTATTGCAAGCATGAAAATTTTGTGAAAGAAGTTAGAGTGATTCCTCATTTTAGGATAGAGGAAATGTTCTTTATGTGATTTGTAAGTGTAGCTTGGGTGGGTTTAGCCTCACATTCTGAGGAAATGAAGCTGAGGCATTGGACAGGCCAGCCAGAGGGACTTCTCCCTGCCCATAGCTTTGACAAAAACTTTTCACAGTTTGAACTAATTTGTCAGGAGGACAGGGGCCTGTAGAGGAGGAAGTGCTTTGTTACTGCTGACCATGAAGGGGAGAGTGCAGTGGGGTATTAGTGCTTATTACACGTCAGAAAATCCACATCCTGAGACCAGAAGGACCAAGAAGTCAGGATCATTTGGTTTGCTGCTCTCCAAACTGCTGGTTTGTGAAAAATTGGGGGTATTTGCTATGAGCTATTAGCAGGATGATGTAATGGGGTGAAATATTGTGAAGTACCACAAGTGTGCAATAGGTGCACCTGCTACTTGACCTCATCTGCCACATATGAATTGTCAGAACCTTATTTCTAACCAATGTCAGTGACTCATTGATCGTTTTTTTTTTTTCTTTCATGTAGAAGGGAGTTTGAAGCAGCTGGAATGCTGTGTTTATAAATAGTGTTCTTGCTCCTGTCCTTATTGCAGTAACATGTCTGATGCTCTGGCGAACGCCGTGTGCGAGCGCTGCCAGACGCGGTTCGACCCTGCCGAGAGGATTGTGAACAGCAATGGGGAGCTGTACCACGAGAACTGCTTCGTCTGTGCCCAGTGCTTTCGGCAGTTCCCTGAGGGACTCTTCTATGAGGTGAGTTCTCACACTGCTTGCAAGAGAAGAGAAACAGTTGTGGCAAAATGCAAGGAATTCTCATCTTTCTTGCATGTTTAATTTCTTGGCCCTAAATATTTGTTGCCTTTTTTTGAGGAATTTTCAACTTAATTTCCCGTTTTTTTTCTTCTCACGTATTCCTTCAGTAAAAGCAAAAGCTGCTCTTTGGGTAAGACACATTTTAAAAAGAAAATAAAAGGTGTTTTGTTAATCATCACAGAATCACAAAATGGTTTGGGTTGGAAGGGACCTTACAAATTGTCACATTCCAAACCCTGCCGTTGGCAGGGCCACTTTCTACCGGACCAGGTTGCTCAAAGCACTGTCCAGCCTGGCCTTAATATTTCGCTAGACAAAAGTGAATTTTTGCCTTTATTTTTAGACATATTTTACCAAGCTGTTCCAGTTGGGCAACTGGAGTAACTAAACCCATTTAAAAGCTAGGTTGAATTTTTTTACAGAATATGCACAGTCACGTATTTTGAATAACACATTGTTTTAAACTTGCTGTATTTTGTTTTGACATGAGTTTTAGCCTCGTGTAGGAGGACTAGTAGTTATGAACTAAACTAAAGCAAAAATGAAATTAAAGGCAGCTATAGGAAAAGGATTGGAGTAGTCAGGATTTTTACTGTCTTGTAGCAGCATTGCTATTAATTTAGTTGTGCAAATTCACCATGAGGCTGAAGCCATATGTGGGTATTTCTCTAAGAAGAACCTTTAGGAGTTGAAAAACAGGTGTGTAGGGGGCTAGAACTGGAAAACTTGACTGACCTTGACTAAATGGTCGTATCAATGCCGAACTGTCAAGATGTAAAATAGTTTAGTTATTAATGAGGGCTCCTTCTCTCTTGTTTTGTTTGCAGTTTGAAGGTAGGAAGTACTGTGAGCATGACTTCCAGATGCTGTTTGCTCCTTGCTGCGGGGAATGTGGTAAGAAATGGCTTAACAACTGCAGGGCTGTGCAAACCTGGCAGCATTGCTGTGACATGTCACCTTGGGCTGGGGTTGTTGGGGTCATTTTAAGGAGTCAGGAGCTCTGGGTGAGAACAAAGCATGATACTGGCAGTGATTTTGGGGTACCCTGGTTGTGGGAATAATTAGGGTTTTTATCAGTTAGATTGTAATATTAGTTATGGAATGAAAATGGAAGGACTATGAAGCACCATAGATTTTTTTATAATACTGTTTTCTGCATGCATCTCATGCTTTCCTTTTGCAGGTGAGTTCATTACTGGGCGTGTTATCAAGGCAATGAACAACAACTGGCACCCAGAATGTTTCCGCTGTGAGCTCTGCGATGTAACCCTTGCTGACCTGGGATTTGTGAAGAATGCAGGCAGGTACGATGGAGCAGGAGGTCAGAAAGTTTTATCAGTGTGTTATTGATACAGCTGTGAAATGCTGAGGGTGGTCAGTTGGTTTTATACTGAGAAGGAAAGCTTGACAATGTACAGAAAAACTTTAGGAATAACCTCATAGATGGGAAGTTCTTCATCCAATGAAACATGCAGAAACTCAAGTTTTAGTGGCTAGTGAATGTGTTCTGGAAAAGGAAGGGATTTCAGACAGAAGACAGATTTCAGAGATTTCAGGCAAAAGGCTGCATAGTAAGTGAGAAAAAGAGATTACGTGATCTCAGGCAGGCTGTTTAGCAAGTAAGCTTCTGAGCAGGAAATTAAAATGTAGCAAAAGGCCAAAAGAACAGCACAATGATTACAGCAAAGTCTTTTCAGCCTGTGATTCCACTGGTCTTCAGAAATCATACATTTTAAAAGCAGAAATATACAAATGAATCCTAGAGGCCGATTAATGCATTTAATTCAGAAATAACAAATAAAAACAAAAGAGAACTTATACAAAAGCATACCATTATAAGAAAATAAAATAATCTAGCAGTTAGCAGACAGTTTTGCACAATTCAGAGTTAATTTTAGACTTTTGTATGTAATGAGCAAAGCCTAGTAATTTCCTAGAGTTTATATTTCACTAACTAAATGGTGAAGGAAGGAAGAGAAGGTCATATGCATGTACCTGTCCAGCAGGGAGTTCTCTTGACTCCTTCTTCCTTTTCATACTGCATGCAACCTCTGTGCCTTAGCTTTTTGAGCTGGGCATAACTAATTTTCTTTTGGCACCTCATCTTGCTAGAATAGGCTGTTGGAATAGCACTTAGGGTGTTTTGGGGAAGCAGTCAGGATAAAAGCAGTTCACGCAAGATAAAGTATGTTTGATTTTGTAAGTCATGGACCTAATCTAAAATGGTAAGGGACTCGTTCCCAAAAGCATAGCAGAGAGATAGGTGTGTGTATTTATGTAATAATATACTTCACCTGTCACATGATTTCCTATAATATTTATCTCCATAGCATTGAAAAGCAGTCTCTTAGAAAATATTATTGGAAACTCTTGTGTTCTTTATTTCTCTTTCCATTGTACCTGGTCTACCCTAGTCTGCCTGTCANCCTACTTTATCCATAGTGAAGGAATAGTCTTGCTAGATAAGTCACAAAAAAGGACTGTAAACCATCTTAAAGCTAGGAGTCTTTCCTGTCTTAATTCCTACCCAGGCTGGGTTCATTGCTTCATTAAGGTCTTTTTTTTTCTTGTCACCATTTAGTACCAATTTTCTCTTTATTGCATATAAACACTTTGAATTCAGAAACTTGAACAAGATGTGCAAGTGTGGGAGTTTTTTCATCAGGGAGGTTTATCTCAGGAGTGGATCTCTACTGCTGGCACAATCAATGCATACAATCAGGCTGTATGCATTGTGCAGAGGAGGCACTGAGTGCTTTGGGAACTATGTTCTTTAAAAAGAAATAAAAAATACAAGGGTCCATTTCTCTCATTGTCCCCTTTCCTTATTCCTAAGTGCTCAGTCCTCAGTTTCATTTTTTGGAAACCAGTAGAACTGTCTTCCTGTTTGCAGTTTCAGCAATACAGGTGCATGTGTTCTCTATGGTCAGAGGGGTTCTTTTTAATGGCAGCCCTATAAAAACAACACAACTTCCCTTCTCAAGGTGAGTTTGACTCTGGGTGGACTGTCTTGCTGCATATTTGTGCTCTCAGCTGATTTTGGTGGAAGAGCGTTCTTAAGACGAAGCACTGGCACTGACAAGAGTCATGTTCACAGTTCAGATTTAGCACTCAGTGAGCTTTCATTTGTCTTACCCTCATAAGTTTGGGGCAACATTATGGTCTTTTTAATACAAAACAGATTGCACAAAGCCTCACGGAATTTCTCAGCTACAAAAAAATACATGATGGGGTCAAAGGCGCCGTTGAGGCTGGTGAGGCAGGAGGTGATGCGGTTGCTGAGGGCCAGGGCCCGCTGTGTTTCACAGGAAGCTTTGGTCCCATTGTAATGGAGAATATAAATGTAGCGATTGACATGATAAGGCACAAAGCAAATTAGAAAGATCATCACAACCATGATGATCATTTTGACAGCTTTTTCCTTCAGATGTTTCTCCACTCTGTTCCCACTCTTCAGGCTCTGGATGATGAGTAAGTAGCAAGTCACAGTAGTAACAAAGGGGAAGGTGAATGCCACTGCTAAGGACACGAGGGCATGACGTGAGGCCTTTTCTCTGTAGAGCTGCAGGCAGACAGTTGTGTTTTTCATCTGGACTGTCTGTACACTGAGCAGCAGAGGTGCCATTGCCACACCAACGATGACCCACAGGAAGACACATGCCACATGGGCATAGCGGGACCTGCGCAGCTTGATGGACTTGACCGGGTGCACAATGGCCAGGAAACGGTCAACACTGATGCACATCAGGAAATAGATACTGGCATACATGTTGAGGTAAAAAAGGAAGCCCGTGAGTCTGCATGGGATCTCACCAAATGGCCAGTGGTTACCAGAAAAATGGTACACCAGCCGGGTGGGAAGTACCAGCACAAAGGACAGGTCAGCCACAGCAAGGTGCATCAGGAAAACGTTGGCAGGTGTGCCTGACTTTTGGTCCCGGATGAAGAGCCAAAGAGCCAGGGCATTGCCAGCAAAAGCCAGGATGAAGTCCAGAAAGTAGAAAGCAGCAAAAATCATGTTCTCAAGGTGTGTCTCTTTGCCACATTGCTCTGATGTTTCCAAAGCGAAATTTGATTGATTTGAGCAGTTGAAGAGCAGGCTTGAAGCTGCTGGCCCATTCATTTTTCCCCACAGTTCTGAAGAAAAAAAAGCCCTAAATGTGAAAGAATTAAGACAGCATATTATGAAAGAGCCTGGGTTAGTGGAAAACAAACCAACAACAACAACAAAAAAAAAAACCAGCAAAAACCACCCAAAAACCCACACATGAAAGTCAGCAATGTCTCCTGTTTGCTAGCATCAGTGTTTAGCATGACACATCAGTCTGAATTTGAACCTTATACCTTATATTAGAATTCTGAATACTCTCTGCTCAGCTGGTTTTACCAGAGCAGTAATTCCTGTGGAAGGAACCCCAGTAAAAAGCTGGCTGGCTGGTGATGAGCTTGTCTCGAGCCTGTGCTGAGGTCAGTTGTACAGCCAAGTAGTGAGATGCTTGTGTGTCCAGTTAAGAGGAGTAGGAGTGAGTTCTGTATATCTAACTAGAAAATATTTGCCATGTTTCAATTTGAAAGCCTGATTCAGGACTGAGGAGTTCCTGATGAGTCAGCTTTTCTGAGCACAGGTATCTGTTGTAAGGTGATCTAGATTAGAGTATCTGTCTTGTTCTTAAAAGAGGTAAAAGACAGATCAAATATTACTGTTATTAAAAATCCACAAAAAAACCCAAAACCTTTGAGCATTATTTTAAAGTCCTGTGTTTAAGGCAAATGCATCTAGTTCCCATATAGGAGGAAACTTTTCAGATGGGTAGCCACATCTCTTTTGACACTGAATTGACTCAAGGAAGATTTAAAATAATATCCATGCTGTCAGTCACCTCTCAAGGTGTCATCTTTCCCTGTAGGTTTTATCTTCCACCACAGCTCTCTTTTTTCTTTCCTCAAGAGTCTGAGCTTCACTCTAGCTTATGCAGGGCCATTTCCAAGTAGAAGCTTAGTTAAATTGAGCTTATCTTTGCCAGTCTCTTGTTTGCAATGTCCTGAACAGCATCAAGAAGTGTGATAGGATTTTCTGAGCACCTACTCACGGCTTTTTATATATTGCTTGTCTGTGGATGTAGATGGTAGGGAAATGCAGGTGGTCTGAAATTCCAGCATTGCCTCTATTACTTGGATTCCTCAGAAGTGTTACAGTATGTGCAGTGATACCTCAGTTTTTCTCACCGTTGTGTTTTGTACTGACAGACCATTTCTCCATAATATTCAATACATCATTAAATACATCCATTATCCACTGCGTCCAGCTCCCCAACAGAACTCATTGTCTAAAAATGTTGGGATCATAGACAACTAAAATGGGATTAAGGACAAACAAATATATTGGAAAATGTAAGGAAATTCCAAGGTAATTAATAGCTTCAGTTTGGCTGCTGTTACTTTAAGGTGAACAGAAAACTGGAATAGCTGGAGATTAATGTGCTGGATCACTTCTGTTTGGTTCACAGTTGGAGAGACAAAGTCAACAGCAGGGAGACTGAATTAAATTCAGAAACTGGAAGTTCTTCCTGTGGCCACAGAGGGCCCTTCTTACTTCATGCATTGCCTGGATACCCTTCTGGATTTGAGTATTTATAGCAAGTTGCCATCTTGCCATTACTTGCAATTGCATGTGCAAGGAAGACTGTACAGTCCTTTTGTCTTTATAAAAATACTTGTGAAATTGTGCTTTCACATACAAAAGGAAAATGCCCTGCTGTGGTTTTATTCATGTGCAGGTCACAAGTTTACAGAGGAGGACGCAATTTTTGGTTCATATTATTCATTTGTCCCTTACAAAGTAAGTATTCTTGAACACAAGTTTAGAGTTTGTATGAGATGGTAACATTGACTCACATACTTGTTCTCCCTGGATGGAATTAGTTTAAATATGTATTTTTCTGTTGCATACTAAAAGAGAAATACATGAGACCATGCCCTTTTACTGGCTGTTAATTTATGGTGGTGCTTATCACGTTCTAGCTATTAAGCCTTTTTTTTTTTTTTTTTATGTCAGGCCCATCATTTAATTATGCTTTTCATCTGCAAAAGTGTAAATCGGGTAATCTTTATGTACACACCTGCTAGGGATAGGATGGTCTTATGGCTAAACATTGCTCTATCCATGGTTGTGGCATCTGAGCAAGCAGTAAACATTGGCTTGGCAGCTGAAAAATCAGAAACCGGGGTTGTCTGATGGAACAGACTGGGATGGCTCTGGTCTTATTGATAATGCTTTAAATCAGTTCCCAAAGTGAAGCAGTAAGCAGACTTTTCCCTGTTTACAAGCTAATTATTGGGGGTTTAACAGCATGATACAGTGAACCAATTCTATTTGAATTGATTTCCTAAGACAGATCTTGGAAATTCAGATTCAGCTGCATGTCAGTGCCAGACTTAAAATTGGCAAGACTTCAAAGTTGAGATTTTTATCCTCACTGATGACAGCATTGAGTCTGCTGTGGATTTCTATACAGACGTGCTTTTAGTGCAAAATGCTGTGGGGTAGAGTAGAAAGGAGAAGGTCAGAGCTGTCTGGAAGTCCAGCATGTCAGTGTCAGGAAGAGAGTCTTAGAATGATAAAATTGAAGTAGATGACAGCCCTCATACTTTTTAGAGCAAGGTGAATGGAGATGTTTTTTATTGTCTGGTTAGACGTTATAAAAAAGGGAAGTGGTCCTCTTTCTAATTTTGCTTATGTTTTAAGTTAAAAGGAAATTTTAATTACAGCTTTAATGGATTTTTTTTTTTGTAATTCTAGTTATTGGGTGAAAATAGTGGTGTAGCACTTGAGTAGGTTCAGAAAAAAAACAACATATCACTAGAAATAATTGTTTGGCTTATTTTTAGACTTTACATGTTTTCAGCAAAATTCTACAGCTTTAGAAAAGAAATAATTCTCTGACAGTGTGTTCTCTAGAAGGTGTTGAAAGCCCTTTGCAGTTATTTGCAATTCTACTTTTAGTCTCCCTGGGTTTATCCTAAATAATATAAATTATTTATATTATATAAATTTAAAATAAATGTGTTTAGTTTTTTTATGCTTACAGGCAAAGCACCAGGATTCCTGTAGTCTGTATAAATGCTAAGAGCAAACTAGAGATCTTCACAAGTGACCTAGAATGTGTAGTCTGTGTTAAGCTATATGGAGCAAGAGGCTTTCATTCCACAGACAGAAAACTCCTTTAGGAGTCTGGCTCATTATCCAGTAATTTCTGCTTGGACTGCACTCTTGGTGTTGTGTGAATGTTTAGTGATTTACGTATTGCTAAACAGAGCACTGTTCTGGAACGAGCCATTATCCCAGGCCTCCCAGGGCTGAGCTGTAATGGGGATGTCGCTGCTCATTTGAAATACATGCATGCACACTGACCATATTTCATGCCCTGTTTCTCTTCTGCTCAGAAATGAGCAAGAGAACAGTCCACAAGGCTGTCAGTATGGACACAATCACTCTTTCAGCAGACGCTCTGTCATTAATGAAAGAACTAGCAGGAGAAGTCTTTAGCTTTTTGTGCACAGTTACCTGGCTAGTTTGGTGCTTTTGTTTGCCTGCTGCAGATAAACTGACCTATATGTTAGAGTTTGTGGTAAGTATCAGAAATTCCACTTCTTGGTTTCAGCTAGAGCAGTTTCTGGTATACTGGTTTGTGCCTTTTTATGATTATGAGTTTAGTGTCTTGTCAAATGAGTGTCTCCCATCTTTCACTCAAAGTACTCTTCATTGGAAATAGTCTGTTTCTGACTGAAGTTATTCTCCTGAAAATCACTCTCTTCTGAGCTTGTATTTCAACTGAAATACTTGGTTTTTGTCAGCATCAGAGCAGTGTCAGAGAGCACTAGACATACCATACAATTAGCACAAATAGGTATACATTAGGTACAAAAGTTTGAAAACCTTTTTTGTTTTGAAGGAATGGCGTAAAGAAAGGCAAGGAAATTAATCTTTGAAGTTCAGAAAATGCTGCCTATTCTTAGATTCAGGCATTCCCATTATATTCATCCACCTCAGTATGTGTTCTGCTACTTACTGGCACCAGCTAAAATTAATGCCATTAGCAAAGCTCCTTAAAAAAAAAAAAAGCTCCTAAAGCCCCTGCTATCAAAAGTTGGTCTCTTACCTCTTTATAATGCAGTCCTGTGGGTGGAGTGTAGGATCCTTTTGGGGAATATCTCAATGAACTCCTTCTGATGACAGCAAACTAGGTAGAAACAGCAGAGCAAACAAGATGATTCCAAGGGAGTGCAGAGTTGCTGAGAGCAGAGAGGGGAGCCCCTCTATATAGTGTCCTCCTTGCTCTGATAGCACATTATCAGCTCAGTCACACAGCAGAGCAGGGGAGAGGACACCCCAGCACTGAGGAGCAGTCTTCATCTCAGCTGAGCTCTTGGCACTGGGGCTGCTGGTGTAGATATGAGTATCCTGCATGAATATGCCAGTGTTCATGGTGCTTACTGAAGGCTGCTACTGAGCCCCCAGCCCTAAACATAAAATCCTTGGAGTCCCCTGATTATTTTAGGAGGGTGGAGAGATGCATTGTTTGGGGGAAATCTAGTATTAACAGACACAACAGGACACTTCAGAATGGGATAATTCCATAATGGTGGGGAAGGGGGGGTGGTGGGAGAGGGTGAGGGAGAGGGGAGGCTGCTATGGTAACAGCTTAGCCTGTCCAACACTTCCCTTTGCTTCCCATAGAGAGGGTCTGTGGGAGGGCAGAGGGTTTGTGACTGGGGAGGGGGTTGATAATGGTTTATCAGTGCAAATGGCTGAAGGCATCTCATTCAGCTGAATGAGAGGGGTCTCTTTCAGGACTCTTGCTTCGGGGTCCCCATGTCCAGCCCTGTATAATTACTCTGCATTTGACAGTGCTGAATAAAATTGATGCCTTTATGCTGAGATGAGCACAGCTGCATTTTTCCTTATAATGGGGTGCTGTCTGCTTTTTCTGGACTCCGTCTGGGCGGGCAGTACTTCCAGCCCTGGATAGAGACACTTGGTGACAGAAGGGCTCAGATTTGGAGAGAATAATAATGATACTTAGCACTTAGACAGGCACCTGCCAGCTGAGAGTCATAAATGTTTGAGGCCTCACAACAACATGTGTTGTATTCTTATCCCCATTTCACAGATATAAGGGTAAGTAATGTATCAGGGCAGAATTTTAGGAGGGACTCTGGGGAGAACCTGCTACTTAGTCCATGAATCTGCCCTTTCCATTTGAACTTTTTCTTTTGTCTGATGTGTTTTGAGAAAGACCTGTAAATCTCAGTGAGTGTTTGACATAGTGATACAGTGAAAGGAATTGGGCAGACTTATTGGTTTTAGGAAAAAGCAACCCACATAATTCATTCTCTGTTTTTCTTTTTAATCATAAATTCTTCAGCTCACAGCGTTGCAGCTAGAGGGATAGGTAATAGGCAAGTAAACTGAACAGCTTCTCCTCAGTGCTCCTAAATCTTCGGATAAAACTGGTGGCTGCCACCAGCCTTCACAAGTTTTTTTATGCCTTTGCCTGAGCATTTCTACCAGAAATTTGGGTTATCTGCCTGTTTAGAAGTGTACTTGTAATATGTTCAAGAACATGTGCTAGGAATACAGCTGCTTTTACCACATAAAATTGCATAGTTCTTAATTTTCTTTAACTTAGGAGTAAAATCAATTTGTAGGAAAGAAGAGGTCTCTTGTTTTTCCTAGATATTGAAGACGAAGGAATCCAGCCATGGTAAAAGGCATTCCAGCAATGCACTTTGGTTTGATACATTTTATTCTCTCTCCTTGACTCCCTCTTAGTGATGTAATGCCTCTATTATGGTTGGATCCATTAGATATAGATAGAGGGTGTTGCTGCCTTCCTTGCCCAGCTATCAGAAAAGATCTAGAGAGTTGGAAAGGATCCCTAGAAGAATGAGTGGGTGATACCCCTGATGGCATATAATTCAGTGAATGTTGGAGTAGTTTTCTAAGGAAATAAACAACTGTGTGACTGCTTTATACTCATATTCTCTGTGCAACGGGTGTGAAACACTGGATACCAAACTGAATTATGTTTAGTCTGACCTCAGAAGACAGTTCTGTTACATAAAGTACTTCCTACAGTATGTAGTATATGTTGTTTTAGGAGAAAGAGTTTTTTAATATTTTCTTTCCTTTACTTTGTTCAACCAGGCACCTTTGCAGGCCATGCCACAACCGTGAAAAAGCTAAGGGACTGGGCAAGTACATCTGTCAGAAGTGCCACTTGATAATTGATGAGCAGCCCCTGATGTTCAGGAATGATTCCTACCATCCAGATCACTTCAACTGCACCCACTGTGGGTATGTTGCCATACTGTAAACTCTGGCAAAAAAGGAGAGAGACAAACAGTTGAGTCAGCAGTGCAGTCCTTCCCAAGGTCTAAACTTTACAACCTTCATATAGTTGAGAAATTGTGTGAGGAGAAACTGAAATAAGTTTGGAAAAACTAAAGAAATTTTAGTTCTATTTTTCATTCAGTGTTCTCTTATTCAAACATTGGATAATGCTAGTTTATAATGAAAGTGAAAATAGTTCAGTGGCATGAACTTATCTGAAAGGCTGTATGCAGATTACCAAAGCAGGGTTTTCCAAAGACAGGAAGGCTGTCCAAAATAGTTTCACTTTGAATTCTTGGATAGAAAAAAAAAAAGATGGCTTGATGAGTGTGTCAGTCTTGTGGCACTGTCCATTGCCACGCTGATACCTGTCTGACCTGAATTACTTACCATGAAGGCATTTTAAGTGGGCACAGTACTGCCCCAGAATGGGTAACAGTGTGAGTAAATGTCTCAGTGTTGAGCACTGCTAGGATGGTTCTTGTACCTGAGCTCTCCCATTCAAAGGTACCTCGAGTCTCAGCATAACACTGTAGATGTCCATGTAAGTGCACCTCGTATGCCTGTGAGAATATCCAGCTGCAGACATGATGTTCCACATATGTTCTTGTCTGGCAAACTGAGAAAGCAATTTTACAAAGATGAGTTGACAATAACCGTGTTTCACTAGCTAACCTTAATGACTGCATTTGTGGTGTGAATGTTGCCTAAGTTAACTTTCAAGTTTAGTCTTCCAGAACTTCCTCCTGGGCATTGTGGGGTTTCCCTGAGTGCTGTTACATGCTCAGGGCCATGTGTGTGTTCCCAGGAAGGAGCTGACAGCCGAGGCCCGGGAGCTGAAGGGGGAGCTGTACTGCCTGCCGTGCCACGACAAGATGGGCATCCCCATCTGCGGAGCGTGCCGCCGGCCCATCGAGGGCCGCGTGGTCAACGCCCTGGGCAAGCAATGGCATGTTGAGGTGAGGCCTCTCTGCATATGAAACTTCCTTCAAGGGCTGCTTTGGAAGAGGACTAGTGCTGCTTGGAAGCTGTAGACATGCAAGTGGTCTGTAATATGTGAATTCAGACAAAACCCAATTGCTTATGTTTCAGATTGTCTTCACCTCTTGTGAGTGAAGGAGTTACAGCAGGGCCATCAGGATTCCTAAGAAAGCTGTTTTCACAACTGTAATAACCTTAATTTTAAAATATGTGAAGATCCTTGTAGAGTAGGGTTGACTGAAAAGCATTTACTTACTAATAAATGTACATATTTTATATGATTTTCTATCTAGATACATCCTCTCCAATTTGACTTACCAGGCACACAACAACATTGGAATTTTTTCTGAAAGCTGAGCAATTCTTGATTTTTAAGCCTTTTCAGCTCATTGTTTCTATAACTTTCAGCTGAGTCATTACATCTTACTCTGAAGATTTTTAGTCATCTTTGTTTCAGTCATTTATGCCTCCTAGGGCTTGACCTGAGAGAGATGCTGCTACTCATTTGAGGTGTATTCATGTTTATGTTCCTGCTTCTCTTCCCTGAAACAAGTCTATCAGGATAGACACAAGGCGATTCCCCTTCCAGTTGGTCTTCAACCTATTTTTAATACAACTCTTAATTACTAAATATCTCCTTTTTTTTTTTTTTTTTTGCTTCCATGAAGATTTTTCCTGTCTATGTTTCATTAAAGCACTAAGAGGTAACAGCTGTAAATGGAAAGAGGTAGATTTAGATTAGATATTGGGAAGCACAGGCTTCTCAGAGAAGCTGTGGATGCCCCATCCCTGAAAGTGTCCAAGACCAGCTTTGAATGAGATGAGCCTTAAGGTCCCTTCCAGCTCAAACTGTTCTGTGATCAAGTGTCATACATTGAGCTACGATTTATTGCCATGTTTTTCCCTGGTGATGGGAAAGTTGTTGAGCCTGGCATGGAATGTTTTGTTTTTTTTCTTTTACAGCATTTTGTTTGTGCCAAATGTGAGAAGCCATTCCTGGGGCACCGACACTATGAAAAAAAAGGGCTGGCCTATTGTGAGACTCACTATAATCAGGTAAATTCAGCCATCTCTACTGTAGGTACTTGTGTCTGGCAAATGCTTTTCCATGTTTTAAACATGCAAAGCTATTCAGATTTTGCATAATCTGAACTTGCAGAAGCAACGAAATAATAAGAAATTAGTCAGATTTAACAGAAAAATAATCTTTTTTCTTGGCAGAAAAGTGATGCTGAAAACACAATAGAAATGTCTTGGGGACGCTGATTTTCATTTGTGCCACTGACAGAAAATCATTGACTGTGGGTTGAGATTAAAATCCTTGTAATTTTACTTCTAATATATTTGTATGGGCTTCTTTGATAGTTACTTGTTCTGTGCGCCTGAGGCAACTGTTATGTTGTCTTAAACATAGAAAAGTAAATAAATTTAGAAAAAACAGAAAAATGAATCAAACTCTGTGTGATTCAACTGAACAACTTTTTGGTTTGGTATTTCCTTCTGTAACATAAATGACTCTCTCTCATAAGAGGTATGTGTTGCTGTTCTGAGAATAGCTGTATTTTAGCAATAGTTCTATTTTGGTATTTGTAGTTGAGCATCAGGAGATTTTTGTCTACACTAAGCATCATACTCTACCAATCCTTTCTTCTCCATATATACAGGACTTTAAGATCCCATAACAGTACTAGAGTGTGAGGCATCAACAAAAAAGGTTTTGTAGTATTTACTGGTGTGAGATCCAAAGGAACATAGACTATTTGGCAAGTGTATGAGAAGTTATTCAGAAGATTTAAATTGGTATATTTGGGGACCACTGCTGTATCTGGGAATTCTTTGGTTATTAGTATTTAATGTTCACACCAGCTGTGTAATTTGGGGACCGTGAGTAGTCAGCAACATTCTTTTTTTTTTTTTTCTGTGCAGCTCTTTGGAGATGTCTGCTACAACTGCAGCCACGTGATAGAGGGAGATGGTAAGATTTGTTCTCTCCTTGTTTTGGGTTGCTGTCCTCGTTTCATTTGTTAGTGCAGCTGTTGCAGTCCCACAGTTGCAAGACGACAGTGTTTGTTTTCACATCTGGCCTCATTTGAATTTGGATATAAATCTGAATTCAAATAATCCGTCAGTTTCCTCTTACTCGGTGCTTTTACTTTTGCAGTGGTATCAGCTCTTAACAAGGCCTGGTGTGTG